AAATCAAACCTCAATTACATATATTTCTGATAATGCTTTGCTAACATTATTCTTTTTGTTTTCATATACATGCAGCTGCAGATGCTGGCGGCTAAAATAGAGGTGAGAGCGTCTGACCACAGATTCTACTGTCGATCATAAGAATCATTCATCAGACGCAGTGACAGGAGCATATTGTGTTTCAGGAGGATCAGTGGAGGCGAGAAGCTGCGTCAGTTCCACCATCAACACTTCCTGCTGCCATCAGGTAAACGACTAGGCAACGTAAAGCTGAGGACCTGGATGAAAACACTGAGTAAAGATGTTTCTCTTTTCTAACTTCCTTCAGTATGGGTGTGGATCGTCAGTCCCATGATGCCTTGCTGGCAGAGGTAGCAAGGCTGCAGGTGGCTCTGGAGGACGTCAGGCGGGACGTCCAGGTTCTGTCTGAGTCCAGGGACAGCTGCCGACAACTCGATGGAGTCCAGCAGGCGGTGAGAAGAGAAGGCAGTTAGTTTGGTGCAATGGTAGCCTCATTAGCTGGGAGGGTAGCCTCAGGAGCTGGGAGGTTACCTTCGTGAGCTGGGGAGGTTGGGAGGGTAGCCTCCTGAGCCGGGTAAGTAGCCTGGTGAGCTGGGGAGGTTAGCCATGGTTAATGTTTTTGAATCTTTCTCTGGCCAGATCTCAGCACAGGTTTCCGCTCAGGTGAGTGAGGAGGTTCGGGCCCTCGTCTACGGGAATCAGGTGACAGTGGCAGGCGGAGGAGACTCCAACACTCTCCCAGAGTCGCTTCTCCAGTGGCTGTCGCAGCGCTACATCAGTAGGGCTGACCTGCAGGTGGCGCTGTCATCTCTGGAGCACAGCATCCTGCAGAACATCAACCTGCAGCTGGTGCAGCATCGCAGCAAGGAGATGGTCAGAGAGGCCGTCGTGCAAACCACCGGGGCTGCTGGGGCCGCCGTCAGCCAGGAGGTGAGGTGGGGGTTACACATTCAAATGTAGTTTAAAAAAACTTTCTTTAAATTCAGGATCAAGACCATTTTAAAGAGAATTGTTAAATCGTCTTCTTCTCGCTGCCATTCAGAGTCTCAAATTCAGATTATTTGGCTAGCAGCTGCTTAGCAAAGCATAAAGACTGGAGACAGTTGGCCTTGCAAGTTCACTGACTAACGTGTGTTGCAGAACTGTGTTCAGGTTCTGCTGCGTGAGGTATAAGCTGACACCAGCCAATCAAATCCCATACATGCAAACACATGTTGGGACTGCAGAGGTCAGAATGCGGCTGAGGAAGCAAAGTCAGCTGATGAACCCACATTTTAAGTTTTGTTTTGTTTTAGCATTGACAGCTAGCATAGCAAGCAAACTCATCATCACACCATTACACATGTCCCAGGCACCAACACAATACATACATGTGAGTCTTTTGTACGTCTGGAAGAACTTTAACTCGTCTGATTCAGACTGTTCCCTGTTTAACCTTTCAGTCGATGCAAACTCTGTTTGTCATCGTTGTTTAGTTTGCTTTGTGTGTTGTCACTATGTGGACACTGGACAAACACATCTCTGTTAATCTTATGTTTTAGCTCAGATGTATTTTCCCAGTTTTTTACCCGAAGATCACTCAAATGAGTTTCTCCTGCAGCTCCTACAAAGTTACTTAACCTTTGTGTCGTCTCTTCCAGGACGTCCACGTGATCGTGAAGAACGCTCTGCGGCTCTTTTCCCAGGACCAGACTGGCCTCGCAGACTACGCTCTGGAGTCTGGAGGTCGGAAGATAAACTCAGTGTTCGTGTCTGACTTGTCCCGTAATGTTCTAGATTTCTTTATTGTCAGAAAATCTCAGGTTAGGGTTAGAATAAATTCAAAAGACAACTCATCTCCACTTCCTCCCAAATACGCTTCAATCATGACGTCTCAGCCTGTTTTTATACAATAACTCATTAAAACCAGGTGTTTGGGAGCCGTGTGGTCGTCCATATTTATTTATTTTACTGACACTTCCTGCAGGGGGAGGTGTTCTGAGCACTCGCTGCTCTGAGACCTACGAGACGAAGGCGGCGCTGCTGAGTCTGTTCGGAGTTCCTCTCTGGTATTTCTCTCAGTCTCCTCGAACTGTCATCCAGGTAATCAATCACACATCGCACTGCTGCCTTCACACCTATTTTCTACTTTTATCAAAAAATGAAGTGAAGCAGAAAAGACAGACCTTCTGTCCTCTGATTGGTCAGATGTGTCCAGTTGTTTGTGGTTCTAAAGCACGCACAGCGCCCTCTGTTGAAATCTGAATCATGATAAATGTTCTAACAGCCCAAATATCGTAACATGATTCTGAAAAAGATCGCGTGGTTAATGCAGATCACCAAGAACATTAATGTTAACAGGGATAGTTTTGTTTGTCACTATTTGAAATGTCATCAACAGTTGATTAACACCTGATAAACACTGCCCTGCTGTCTTCCTGCAGCCGGACGTCCATCCAGGAAACTGCTGGGCGTTCAGAGGCTCCACAGGTTTCCTGGTGATCCGTCTCTCAATGAGGATCCTCCCCACCGCCTTCTCCCTGGAGCACATCCCCAAAGCCCTGGCACCCAGCGGGGCACTGCACAGCGCTCCCCGAGACTTCAGTGTCTATGTAAGAGAGTGGTCTCCATCACCAGCGACCTGTCGAAGTTTCTGTTACTGAACAGATTTGTTTTCAGGGTCTGGAAGACGAGCGTCAGGACAGAGGGAAGCTGCTGGGAGCATACACGTATGACGAGGATGGAGAAGCTCTGCAGACGTACCCCGCTGCTGTGAGTTGTCCCTGCAGCGGCCACATGTTCACCCCACATGCATTTCAACTCAGAAAGAAAAGTCTAATAGTTTAAGGGTTGATCTAAGTTCTCAACGTCATTGAAGTGTGGACAATAATTCTGTTATGTCAAAATAATAAAGCAGCTGTAGCAACATGTTCATTTATCCTGATCAGAGGATGTTTATCAATATGCAGGAGTTTGTCATTAAGTCTTTTCTTTCTTTTTATTATTATTACATCCTAAACCATCTTCATACTGATCTACAAGATCTAATCTGATCAGTAAAATCTCTCCTGGACGCATCGACTCTTCTAGTTTTACTTCATAGTTTAACTGATGCGATTGTGAAACTGTCTATTTTATTCTAAAAATGTTTTTAATTGAACTTCTTGTTATCTCTTGCTTTTTGCAACTGTTAAAAATATCATTGACGATCAGAGTGAGTCAGTATGGCGAAGACGCCAAACATCTGTGATTTCACTGTGTTCATATCATTATTTTTCTGTGTTGACAGGAGGAGAATGATCAGATGTTCCAGATCATCGAGGTGAAGGTTTTGTCCAACTGGGGCCACCAGGAGTACACGTGCATTTACCGTTTTAGAGTGCACGGGACGCCCAGTGAGGTCTGAGGCCCACGTTCACAAATTTAACGTCAAAGTGAGGTTTTGAACGTCATCGTCAGAGTTAACAGGAGGAAAGATTAAAACATGATTCCTGTTTTTAGAGAACTTGAAGAAATGTGTTTTTTACTGTAAATAAATTATTGAATAATCTGGTCCAGAGCAACACATGAAATGAAAACAGTGATGTTCAAATCTGCTGTGAAAGTAAAGGAGCAGATGAATATTAACTTATTTAGTCCACTTAGCACAGCGTGCATTTGATATCTGGCTATTTTCTTATTTATATTTTGTTTGGATGCATGCTACCTCTGTTTGTTGGAAGTCTGAAATTGTGATTCCTACGAGGACCAGTAGCCCAAAGCACTTTAATTTCATTTGAAGCATTTCAGTTTCTTTTTTTGTCACCTTGAAATGTGGCTAGGTATATCGATATAGGTTAGGGTTAGTAGTTCAAGTTAATAGTTAGAGTTAATAGTCTAACCATAAGTGATCTTAAGGATTACTTCTTTTTTTTCTCCTCAGGCCTGACATTATTTTATCCCTTCAGGCCAAGGACTAATCTTTTTTTTATTTTTGATGACTCATAACAGATGTGTCATTATGCTGTGAATTCTCTGTGAATAAAAGAGAAGAAAGGGATAGAAATGTAAAAAGGTTGTGTGTCTTGACTTTTTTTACAATCTACAGTAGAAGGCTCTAGCTCTATTGATTTCAATATGAACACCTAAAGTTACAGTATTTCTATTATAAAAATGTACTGCACCGGGAACCATAACTGCAACCATTATATTGTACTTTTGTTAGCCTTAAGCCTAGCTCAGTCATTATGCCATACCACATCACCTCCTGCTGTGTAATGAGCTGCAGTGAACACAACAAGATCTATTGAGAACACCAAATCCATATTTCCTGTTATTTTGGTGAAAGCAATGCAAAAGTAATGTCAAAGTAGTATAATGCCTTTCAAAGACAGTAAGATTGTAATGTAACTAATAATATGAAAATACAGTCACAAGTAATAAATAATGCATTACATAATTGAAGTAACTTGAACACTGTTCATATTGTATAAAAACACAGAGCTGAGCTGAGTCAATATTAGCTGAAGTCACATAAGTGACTCTGCACAGCTACTTTCTCCAAAAGTCTTAAAGTGTGTTTGTGCGATTAGTTGAACAAACATGTCTAAATATTGAACAACGTTGTTCTCCTCAGGTGTTTACATATTGAATGTTGGGAGGTTGTGTTTACAGGTGTGATGTCACAGAGTTGTGTTTACAGGTGTGATGTCACAGAG